AAAAAAAAAAAAAGAAGAAGTTTCTTTCTTAACAGATGAATGCAGAACGCTACTTACTCTTAAATACTAGTCTTTTCTCATTTTTTAGGGATATCCTCCTGCTCTCAGTTTTGTAGATTTTGCTATGAGCACATGAGATTTAGAAAAAAGGTGAAAATATTAGCTAACTAAAGGTCTCTTCATGTTCATTAGGAATTTATTAATGTTGATTTGTTTCTGAGTATTCTTACCTGAAGTAATTCCTGTCGCACTGTTCTAAAAGCATTTTACCATGGACTGATTATAATGAAACAATTCATTCTTAAAATCACTTGCAGCTGAACTGCAAAAATATTCAGGAGATTTTTCTTCTGCCTCTCTCTTGCCCAGTTCCATAACCATTCCTCAGCTTTGCCAATGTTGGACAAAGAGTGAGAGTGCTACCAAAGGGGAAATTAGGGAATACCAACCGTTCTTCAAATGATCCTGAATTTCCATTTTCTAGAACTTTTTTCAACATGGATCATCAATGAATAGTTCATTCTGCTACTTACTTGAATTGTATGTTTGAATATTAGCTGTACAGTTCTTTAACAGAGCTGCCCAGGGATAGGACAAAATTTAGACAGATGGAGAAAGGGAACCATTTCTTTCCTCTTCCCCTAGTCCAAACAAAATAAAATGGGTTTACTTTTGTTTTGTATTTAAATAACAAAACCTCGTTGCATAGATCTAGGAGGCATTTTTAATAGTTCGTCTGAGAAATGTTGGTGTTTCAGCCCAGGGTGATAATCTTCAATTTGGAGTTAGAGCTGGAACTGATCTTGGCTTTGGCATTTGAATTTCACATGAAACTCAGCAAGTCAAGTTTAAAACCTCTTTAAACTGTAGGTGATTCAAATGTAAAGTGGTGATAGTTCTAGGTATGATGTCTATTTACTGGGTGTTGTAAATAGACAGACTCATAAGACAACTAAAATAACATATGTATGAAATATAATAACAGTAATATGTGCTTTGAAAATCATCCAAACTTTAGTATTTTATTCACATATATTCTAGACAGGAAAGTGAAAATTTTAGTTATTACTAAAAAGCATTTTTAAATATACTTTTAGAGAATTTGTTATTGCAATTACATTGATGAAGGCCTTTGTGTTATCGATTCCTAAAGTATGTTAGAGGAAATCTGTGATGAATTTTATTTTTACTTCTTTTTTTCAGTGGAAAGATGAAGAAAATCATGTAGTTAATTGTGTCATCTTATGCATTTGAGCATGTCTAGAAAAGGACATATATTAAACAAATAGAACATTTAATTTCAGTATTATTAGTGAGAAAGGATTTGAAAACAACAAAGCAAAAAGCATTTCCACTGCCAATATGTTGCCAAATGGTCCATGTACCCCATTTAAGGTAATCTCATTTATCTTGGAATTTTGTTTTAAGCAGGGCTTTAAGACTTGCAAAGAAATGGCGTTTGCATAAGACTAATAGCCACATATTAATGTTTTTTTTTCCCTGCCTGTTAAAACAAAATTAACAAAGCATGCATGTTCAAATTCTGTAAGTATTTTATTAAAAAAATTATTCACCTGGAATCACTCACTCCTTAATTCTAGAAACATTTTACTCAAGCTTCTTCTCTACATCAGAGTAAGATTTCATACTATGATACAGATTTACAGAGTAAATATATATATTACATTTACATTTTTACATGTTTACATTACAAACATTTACAGAATAAATGTTTGAATTTATAATATTTTAATTTCTTTTGAATTTATAATTTAATATAAATTCTTTTGAATTTATATTTTGAATTTTATATTTTGAATTTATATTTTGAGTTTATATTTTGAATTTAAATTCTTTTGAATTTATAATATTTTAATTTCAGTTGCAATTATATTATTCTTTTCTTTTTAACATTTGCCTTGCTTTCTGTGGAAGTCAAGGTAAATTTACACCAGCAAATATTTTTTTTTTTTTTTTGAGACAAGAGTCTCACTATGTCACCCTCAGTAGAGTGCTGTGGTGTCACAGCTCATAGCAACCTCAAACTCTTGGGCTTAAGCAATTTTTTTCTCTTGCCTCAGCCTCCCAAGTAGCTGGGACTACAGGCACCTGCCACAATGCCCGGCTATTTTTTTCTTGTAGTTGTCCTTGTTTAGCAGGCCCAGGCCGGGTTTGAACCCGCCAGCCCCTGTGTATATAGCTGGCACCCTAATCACCGAGCTTTGGACACTGAGTCTCAGTTGCAATTATAAAAAAGTACTTTGAAGACTGATTCATCTTTACAGATTATGCAAAGAGTATAAGAAATTTATGAGGAATGTGTTTAGACTGTGTACGAGAAAGGCTCAGGAAGCACTTTAAAGTTCAATAATGTAAGTGAGTTCCTTCTCATGTGTCCATGACTGGGCTCACAAGCACCCATGAATTTGGTCTCATATTTGTTGAAAATCTCACTGACAAAAAGATCTTAAAGGTCAAAGTGGTTTTTTAAGGGCTTATGTTAGTCAGGCTTTCATTTGTTTCTTATTACTAAATTCTTAAGAATTATCCAGATTAATGAGGTTTTCTTTATTATGAGAAATTGGTATAAAATCCTCCTGAAATTCTCAAATCTTAAGAAGGGTTTACAAACAGGCATATGAAATTTTAATTCAAATTTCCTGTTCTATCTTGGAGTGTTAAACTGATGTGTCTACTATAAACAGTAGAGTATGATAGCATATTTGGAAGTGGTTTGCTGGAACTTTGATTTGCTAACAACTGCTGTTTCTGTTGGCAAAAATTGAACAATTCTTCTGTGATTTTAAGGTAATATGGTTTTTTCTTGCTACTGCACAGTTTAATGCTAAATGACATTTTGGTATCTGATCATTGGCCTAAATATAGTTTAATCATAAAGGCAAAAAATCCTTTATCTTTATTCTCACTCTTTATTTCTTTATTTATTGTAAAGTATTTAGAGTTCTGCTTATCTTTCTGTATATGGCTCTCATATTTACAGACATAATGTTTTCAGATAAAATTTTCATCCCTATGGGGTGTCGTTTTGTGTCTGTGGGTATTGCTATTTTTTTTTCCATGAACTTTCTGGTTTGAGCATTTGTGGAAGGGTAAGTTTGAATTCTTTTCAACACATAAAGATATCTTGTACTGTTAGAAAAATCATCTCAAAATGACCTGTGAATTTCAGGTCAACACAGCCAAATGTGTCTCTCTTTATTAAAATAATATTCCTCAAAAGTATGGTCCACAGTAAGCAATAATTCAAATCCCAGTTTTTCCTAGATTGGGCTTTAATAGTATAATTGTTGCAAATGACACTCCGTTCTCTTAACAATGTATGTGTATTATACCTTTTATATGAAAGCTACAACCAAATAGCCTAAGAATATGGGGAGGGGGGAGGGAGAAGGGAGGGGGGAATGGGTGGAGGGAGGGGTTTTGGAGGGATCACTTCTGAGGTTTATCTTATAGGGGTACAAGTGAATCTTTCTAAGAGTAGAATGTGAATGTTTTAAAACAATAACTGAGAAAATGACATGAAGGCTGTGTTGACCAGTTTGACGGAAGTATTTCAGATTGCATGTGAAAACCCCACACTGTACCCCAGAAGTGCATTAATGTACATAGTTACCATTCAATTAAAAAAAATGTATGTGTATTCTTGATGGTTCCTCCCATATATAAAATTTAAAGGAAATTCAAAAAGAGGCCAGACTGCTGATTTGTCTACATGTCTACATACACATTATGATGAGAAGCAAGCAAGTGCAGTCATTAATTGATGAGATAATACATTTATTAAGAGTTCAATCCTAGATAACAGTTAATAGCCTATTAAATATGGATAATAGTTCATAAATAACCCCCTCTCTGAGTTAAAAATAAAACTTTCATTAAGGAGTGAGCATCTGAGACATGCTCATCCCATGAGTGAGACTTGACATTGAGGCAGCAGATTTCCTCTATTTGCTGACTTTCTGAGAAAGTGGGTGTGGTGAGCCAAACCTTAGGGTTAGATGGCTGTGGGAGTCAGGAACTATTGTTCCCCAGCCTCACTTCATCCAGAGGCATTTTGTTCTTTTTCCTACTGATTTTCTATCCTCATGCCATTGAGCTAAGGACAGTTGCCCACACTCACGTAACTCAGAGCCTGAAAGGAGAAGCTCTAGACTTGGAGGCAGCATTTCCTAGAGGACTGGTACCTATGTCTAAAGAAGCCAATGGTGGAAGGAGGATGTGATGGATAAAAGTCCACCTTTGCCCACAGGAAGCATATCAACCCATCAAAGTTCCAGTGAGGGTATAGAGCCAGATCATGAATTTGCTGGCCCAAATAGTGGTTCTTTCTCCCTCTCCTAAGCTTCCGCAAACAATACTCTGATCTAGCTGCTGTAAAGCTATGATGCATTAGCTTCTGTTACCCAGGAGTACTGCCCAACACCCCATCTACATGAGGGCAAGGCTTGCCTCTTGCTCAGTGGTTTGGCTATATTTCTTACTATACTTAAATTTCTAGATGAATGCCTTTGTCATTAACTGTATGTATCAAATGATGAATACAAATTTACTATTTGAAAACTTTCCATTAATGTTATATTATTTCTTTTAGCCTAAACTAGGAAATCCATTAAATTAAATTATCCATTTAAGTAGAATTCTTAATGGAGATGAGTTAAGTCATTTGTGGTCTTAAAATATTTTATTTCTTCTTGGGAGGAGGATGAACTTATATATATTTTTTATGTTATAGGAAACAGTGTTATTTTTCTGGCCTACTTTCTGACCTGGTTTCATTATAGTCACAATTCTGCTGATTGACATCCTTTACATTGTTCATAACACTATGTCCATTAGACATATCCCCAGGTATGAAATGTATAACATAACTCCCCAAGTTTTTCTTTTTTTGGAATCTATACTAAGGCATTTATTCTAAGGAATAATTTTAACACTGAATATTCTGATTCTATACCAAATAGGCTATTTGGTCAATTTCCATATATTTTGAAACTAAAAGACTGTAGTGTTTAAGGGGAAGTGGAAGGTTTATATACTAATTATTATTAATTGAGTAGAAAATAAAGTATACAAAGAAGAAACTGGGCACTTCACCTCTTGTACTAACTTTCACTATTCCTTAGTTTGAAATTCCCATAAAATTTCTAATTGTGCTTTAATCACAAATTCCTTACACATGAAGTTCTATCTGAGTTTTTCCTGTAGCCAAATGAATATTGATTTGAGCACATACAAAATTTCAGT